CAGGAAGCCCTGCGTGGGCTGCTCTGAGTTATGTGTCTGATGCAGCGCTGAACACTGAGTGTGTCTCGTGAGTCCCACACTGGTCCTTTCCAAGGGCTTTTGTTCTTGTGCTCTGAAGCTCAGGGAAGTTCAGAAACCTGCCCAAGGTCACACAGGAAGAGAGGATGGTGACTGGAATATGCTTCTGATAAGCCAAAACTCCAGTCTCTTAACTCCAGATGAGCCCCAGGTAAACCCACAGAAGCCCATCTCAGGACGGCAGGATCCCAGGCCCAGCTCTGAGGGACCAGCGTTTCCTGTCTGCAGCCAGGTGAGGGAGTGACAGTGATTAGTTTTGGGCACAGGAGGTGCGACCAGACTGCATTGGCACATGCTGTGTGTGTGTGTGTGTGTGTGTGTGTGTGTGTGTGTGTGTGTGTGTGTGTGTGTTACATTGTGGTTGAAACATGCATGTGTTCGGTATCAGAACCAGGACAAATGGCTAACTAAGGTGCCTATTTCACATATCAAAGTGGACCTGGCTGCCTGGTCACCCCAGCATCCCCCAGTCACTACCTGTTACAGGGTATGGCTGGCGTGCCCTGACCCCCCTACCCTGAACTCTCCAGCCCAGGGGCTGGGTTACCTTTCCCTCAGCTTCCTTTCCTGTATAGTCCAGCCATTTTGGTTACCTAGCCTTTTCTCCCCTTTGCTCTCCTGGCACTCCCCTGTCCTCACAGGGCCTGGCTCAGGGTCACGTTCACTCTGGACTCTCCCAGATGTCCCCGCCTCTGGCTACGCTCTCCCTCCTCTCTACAATGAACTTTCTCTTCCACCATACCTAGGAGCAGCCATGTCCTACCTTCTTTGTTTCTGGTCTTTTTTTCCCCATTCAGCATGCGTTAGCTTTCGGTTGCTGCTCTGAAGATTACCTTGAACTTCATGGCATGAGATAACTCAGGATTCTTGTCCCATAGTTCTGGAGGTCAGAATTATGAAATGAGTCTCAAGCTACCAAGTCACCATGTTAGCAGCACTGGCTCTTTCCGGATGCTGCAGGGGAGAACCCGTTCCTTGTCTGGCCCACCCTCTAGAGGCTGCACCCATTCTTTGGCTCAGTAGCTCCTTTCTCTTCTGTCTTCAAGTGCGTGAATCATTCTCTAGTCAGCCAGTCTCCCTCTGTCTGTCTTCTCTCTACCATCACATCTCTTTTTCTCTGGCACCAACACAAATTCTAAAAGGTCTTATTAATAAAAACAAACAAACAAACCCAGAGCCTGATACTGGGGCAAATGCTGAAAGATCAGAGAGACAAAGGAACCAGCCACTGCCATGTCTTACCTCTAGGACTCCTCAGCCTTTGGAAAAAGCCTTAGTTCCTGTCTCCTCACGCCTTATATACCTTTCTCCGCCCAGCCTTCTTAGTGCTGGGATTAAAGGTGTGTGTCACCACTGCCTGGCTCTGGTTCTCTCCTAGACGGAGTCAATCTCATGTCGTTCAGGGTGGCTTTGAACTCACAGAGATCTAGATGGATCTCTGCCTCCAGAGTGCTAGGGTTAAAGGTGTGTGCCACCACTGCCTGGCCTCTATGTCTAATCTAGTGGCTGGTTCTGTTCTCTGATCTTCAGGCAGATTGTATTAGGGTACACAATATATCACCACATTCAACCCTTCACAGTCTTTCTTCCAAGACTCTTTTCAGTGACCCACCAAGATAGCTCAGAACACTGCCTGCATTTCAGCATCCTTGAACTCGATTGTATTTACATAGACCCTCCTACTAGATGTAAAGTAAGCCACAGGTTCTAGGGCTTGGATGTGAGCATGTTTAAGAGGCTTTCATTTCCGTCTCCCATGAAATATAATGGAAACAACTGTTTTGTGAGCTAGCCTGGGCACAGTATTTCTAAGGTGGTTGTTGTGGACCCTGGAGCATCTAACAACATTTTGGGGCATGAGTAAGGACAGCCCAGGGGGGGATCTACTACTCACACGCTGAGACACTTACAGGAGCGGTCACTGACTTACAAGAACAAAAGGTCTTTAAAGTATAATCAAGAACTGCTGCCCAGGGAGACAGGTGTCTTGTCTTTCTGAGCTCTGTGGCTAGACTTGGATAGTTCCAGGGTTTAGGAGCTCCAGTTGTCTGTGGAATTGAAATCTCCACTTCACATGTATAACCACAGAAGTGCCACACCAGTGGAGCTGTAGGGACTAAGAGGACCGTGCTGCTTTCCTGTGAGCATACAGGCAGACTGATGTGTCAGGAACATGGGTTAGGGGATCAGACTCGATAAGTCAGACAGCCTTCGGGGATGGGAAGGGATTCATTCGGAATTCTGCAGATACAGGAGTGCCTGAATGGAACTGCAAAGTTATATGGGGCTGAGTTATATGCAGAGTTAAATGTGGGATTTGTTGAGAGAACTAGGCAGTTAAGGGCCACACCAAGAATAGTATAGAGGGGTAGAGAGCCAGTGAAGGACTGGGAGCATGGGGGTGAAGGGAGGTAGACGATGGACGTGTTTGCACCTTGCCTTTATGGTCAGAACCTCTTGAAGTCAAGGCCTTGGTCTGATTTGCCACTAGATAACCCACCTGGAGGGCTTAGGACAAGTTGAAATCATCAGTGGGTCATGGGTGGGCACCTTACTCACCGAAGTCTCAATGTCCTTGAGGCCTGCTCACCCAAGCTTCCTTGGACAGCTCCTCACATATCAAAAGCCTTGCTTGGATAGATTTAGGTTCTTGTGGGCACAGCACAGTGCGCACAACCCAGGGTCTTGGGCTCTTTCTTACCAGGCATTAGCCATCACAAGTGCCGAGAAGTGTTCGCTACAGGCACGTCTCGGGTAGAAATTTAAGGGGAGCAAGCAAGCAGAAGATAAGAGGGAGCAGTGACAGGACAAGCCAGGCGAGTTTCGCAAGTCGTGCAGATTGGCCACCAGACAGAGCCTCTTGACAGACACCTGCTCTTAAATGGAGTGTTTTCCTTGTTGGAAAGTACTTCTGTGTGCATCTGTGGTCTTCTTCAAACCCCCTGCCAGGAGGAAGCTGCCATGCCCATTCTTGAAAACAATCAAAACAAAACCATTCAGCTAGTCGAGGAGACTCGGCCCCAGTGGAGGGGAGTGGTGTCCCCGGGTTGCCCGCTAAGGACACTGATCCTGGCCGCTGCACTGGTGTTCCTCTCCTGATGCCGCTGTGTTCCTCAGCATTATGGCAGTTGGCAGCCTCTCCTCTCCTCGGCCTTGTGGCCATGTTGTACACGCTCTTCCGACCCGTCATTCATCCTTCCTGAGGGGCTGCCTTGCCCGCAGTACCCTGCGCCTCTCTGCTTTACCTTAGCCACTGAGGCTTTGTCCTCTGAACAGGGAGTGCTTGGGGGCCAGGGATTCGCAATTTATCTGTGTCCAGTTACTCTTCCCTGAAAGGATGAGCACCAGGCCGCTTCCTGAAGTGGGTTCGTGATTGTTAAACATACTACGGCACCTAAAATAATGTCTGGCTCATTGTGGAACGTGCGTTTATGTCCCGGGGCTGTGTAAGGGCGGCGGCGGCGGGGGGTGGGGGTAGTTGGCAGTTTTGAACATTCCTAGAGGCTTGTGGGAATTGGATTTGCCCTCTTCCTGGTTGTTGCTTGGGGTCTCTGCCTTCTGGAAGTCAGGCAGCTTTTATCCGTATAGATGGTATGCTAAGGGGTGACAAATGCTGGTTATATTTCACTTTCCAAAGTTTCATACCATGAGAGGAGTTCCGGAGTCTCACAGTATACAAAGAAGAAAGGCTTGGAAAAGGAAGCTGGAGAAGAAGGGGAGCCCTCGTGGCTGCTGAGTACACCTAGTTGATTTAGGTTTTGTGTTATTGCTAGCTTATTGGTTGCTTTGGTGTGTCCATGTGCCTGCCTGCCTCTTTCTGCACAGCTGTGATTTTCTGTGTCTGCCTGAGCTCAGGGATAGGGTTTCAGTGGGCGTGCCTGGCTTTGGGATAAGCAGCGTGAACATGCCTGAAGCATATGGAAGTGATGGGGTTGTGGCCTGAGATCCTGGGCCCCATCAGAAGTGTTCTCCACATTGTGTCTCAGCCTAACAATTGCCCATTAAACACCAGGCTGCTAGCATATGGTTTTCCCCAACATCCTCCTTCTTAAGTGGAAACATTAGCTGTGTGGCTAAAATAGTTTCCCATCATTTAGTACTTCAGAATTAACATTTTTGAGAATTCCCCAATTAATACCTAACGGCACATTTGCAGATTACTAAAGAAATATTTAAACAGAATCAGTAGATCTGGGTTGGCTGAGCTGGAGCAACCCTTTCTTAGGAGGATCTTGGGGTTAGGAAGAGGCAGGGCTAATGGGAGGCTCTGGTGCTCCCTCTGTGACTGCTGTAATTGGAGTGGGAAGTCTGGTGGGGCTGTTACCCTACTATTAAGGCTGCAGATGGCTAATGGCCACATCACCAAGAGTTAAGAGTTCGAAGTTCTAAAGTCTTTTTTTTTTATGACCCACCCCCTGTATTCCCAGCATAGGTACGGAGGCAGTGAAGAATTTTCTCATTAAAAGTAATGGCTTATTCCCACATTCATTTCCAGTCTTGGAATGAGAACTGGTTTCCGTAGACTTGAGGAATTGCCTATCTGTCTTGCCTTACTAGAGCTTTCTAGTGAGGCTGTCTGGTAGGCGAGTTTTATAACCAATCAGAGGATCCAACTGGAAGGGCTCCATCTGGCAGCCCTGGTCTCTATCCTAATTTTACTGCTAATGAATTATTTAACCCCTAGACACAGACCAGTTCTGTTCCTGTTGTCTTAGGGGAAAGAGCTCCCTAGATCCCTAGCGGGTAGGAGGAATCCCTTGGACTGGAGGGTGTTTGGAGTGTGGGGAGTCATGGAACAGCGGAAGGAGTGGGAGCGGACCTATAGGACTGGCGAGACCCCGGGCCTCTGTGATGCTCTGTCCGTTTAGATGCTGGGAGAGTAAACTGGCTTCACTCTGCATCATGTTCTCATTTTCCCGCAGGGAGTGGGGCCGGCCGGCCGAAACAGCGGGCTGCACAACGTCACCTTCAGATATGACAGTAAGTAACCAGCCTGACCACAGAGAAGGCAGGCAGTTTCTTTCAGAAATCCAAAGTCTCGCACTTGTACTTCGTCAGGGACACCTCGGGTCCTGGCGTTGAGGAGTTTTCTGAACCTGTCTGGGTTTGTCAACAGTTAAAGCAGCCCAGGCTCCATTTAGCCACTGAAGTGTTTGGGAGCTTGAACAGGTCTGGTGTCTTCCACGCTTTTCAGAAGGTTCTGGGTGAAGACCTGCCCTCAGGACATAGCCTTGTCTTTAAGAGCAAACACAGATGTCAGTAGGTCCCACCAGGGGATGAAGGAGTGAATTTACCCAAGTGTAGACCTCGAGGCAAGGATGGAGACTGGGCAGCCTGTCTGATCTGAAGGGGCCACCAGCTTCCCAATTCCAGCTTATTGTGGTCTTATGGAATTCCCACTGGGTGTAGCCAGATGTGGTTTCTAAGAATAGCCAGAATTTCTAAGAATAAACACTCCACCCCTGTAAAATATTTTCAGTATTGGCCTTTATTTAAGACACCCCTACCCCCAATACTGAGTGGGCCAAGCGGATCTGTGTCTCAGGGTGGCCCAGGAATCTCTAGTTGGCCATCTCTGACTTGAGCCTCATGGGATACTACGTTCAGTTCCCCATCTGTCCATGTGAAGTGAAACAAGTGACTTACCATCTCCACGTTCAATTGTCTCTCTCCTCAGCATCAGTTTGAGACTTAACCGAGGTAGTACTTACATCATCTCCCTTGGTGGAAGGTGTGTTGACCTTCCCTGACTGAATTGTTGTCTAAGGTCAAGATGACTTTTCTTCTGATTAGACATTTATAACCCATTATAGAAGAACATTTATAACCCATTATAGACAGTGGTCTTCCTTCCTAAGAAGGTTAGATGGAGCGATGAGCTTTTTCACCACACACGCGCTAATTTAGATATAAACATGCTAACGGGCTGTGACTCCTGGTGGTTGGCTCTTGATTTCTCATCTCTTGGAGAAGGTTATGAATCCAGAGGCTTAGGTCATTTGAAGGCCTCTGGGATAATCAATGGAATAATTCTCTGTACTCTGACCGAGCTAGGGTTTTTGAGGTCAGGAATACAGTGTGACAATTTTAAGACAGGCATATCTGTTTCAAATTTACATCCACAGATGCTGGCTTGAGTATTTCAAGTTACCCAGAAAGGCTTACACATGACAAACAGGCGCTTCTTGTCAGTGGTGTGTGCATGTTTTGGGTAAATGCCATGATGGTAATGAAAGATTTGCAAGCCTGTGATACTTGATTCAGCTAAGTGCAGATGGTTGCTCTTTGAGTTAGAAAGTTGGTTTCTAATCTTTGATCTTGACCCTGGTGGATCCTGTATTAGAATCAAGGGCTCATTTACAAACAAACATTTGTCTGTGATTTAATATGGATTTTTATGGCAAAAATTCTATGCCTGTAAAACTTTAAAATATCTTATGGTTATCTTTTTGTTTTTGCTTTTTTGTGCTTTTGAGACAGGGTCTCATGTAGCCGAGGCTGACCTTGAACTCTTGATTTTCCTGCTTCAGCCTCCAGAGTGCTGGGCTTATAAGCATTTGCTACAATGCCCTGATTTGTTGGATTAAATTTTTGCCTGCCTGCCTGTCTCCTAGGCATTACTTTCTTCTTAATTCTTCATCATTTAATTATAATTTAATTCACAGTTTATACTGGCTCCCAAAATATTTGAAGCTCAGTTAATTTTTTAGCAAAATGTCATTTAGGCAGAAAGTCTTATTGTAATTGTACTCCAAAACTTTAGACCAAACTTCTTAGTTAGGGTTTCTATTGCTGTGAAGAGACACCATGGCAACTCTTATAAAGGGAAACATTTAATTGGGCTGGCTTACAGTTTCAGAGGTTTATATCATCATGGCAGGAAGCCTGGCAGCCTGGTGCTGGAGAAGGAGCTGACAGTTCTACATCCTGACCTGAAGGCGGTAGGAGTCTGTGTGCCACACTGGCATGGCCTGAGCATATGAGACCTCAAAGCCACCTCCACAGTGACACTTCCTCCAACAGGGCCACACCTCCTAATAGTGCCACTCCCTATGGGCCAAGCTTTCTAACACATGGGTCTCTGGGGGCCATTCCTATTCAAACCACCACACCAGCTAATAATTGGATGTAGGACCTATTTTAAAAAACTGTATCCTGTGTTTTCCATCAAAAAAGATACTTAATCTCTTCTATAATGATGAACTTATCACTCAGTCGACTAATGACTAGTTCTGTTTAAAACAGTTAAAAAATTCTGGGCGGTGGTGATGCACATCTTTAATCCTAGCACTTGGGAGGCAGAGGCAAGTAGATCTCTGTCAGTTTGAAGCCAGCTGGGTCTACAGAACAAGTTCCAGGACAGCCAGGACTGTTATACATAGAAACCCTGTCTTTTAATTTTTAAAAAAAAAAAAGAGTTAAGAACCAGTTACCAAGCTTTCAACAAAATTACTAAAATAAAAAATCTTATTTTTTTCCAAGTGTCACTTGTTATAATAAAGAAAGAAAATGTTTTGCCATTAAGTCATAGCTGAATTTCACAAGTCTCTCAGCTTCTTTTGACCCTGCATTACGTTTTAGTACATTTTCTTAATTCTTAGACTTTCTACTTGCATACTTATATTTATAAAAACCCTTATTGTCAATTTTGGCATTAGGAATGAGGAAAGATAAAACCCCAATAGCTAGCTATTGTTCATGCATCTTTCCAGGCCACAGTAAGCATGTTTCTTTTATATTACAGACCTCAGTAAGCAGGTTTCTTTTATATTACAGACCTTAGTAAATGAAGATACTGGGATTTTACAACTGTGATAAGATCTTGCCTTTTTTTTTTTTTTTTTAAATCATGAAGCCGCAGAGCACAAGCACAGATATATACATTTGTATGTTTTTAATACTTAAGATTTTTGCAGGCTGAATACTTTGAACTCAGAGCTTATGCCAATAGGAAGAGCAGCTAGAGCTGAGGGGACCACCCCCCCCCCCACGTTCCCCCGAGGCTGCTTGTCATCATTCTGCCCCTGGACAGGTCAGTGGTGGGTTCCAAGCCACCTAGCTGATCTCCCAGCCCCCATTTTTCTAATTTGTGCAATCCGGGTGTTGAACTCGTTGTGTGTGTGTGTGTGTGTGTGTGTGTGTGTGTGTGTGTGTGTGTGTGTGTGTATCTGTCCTGTTGTGCTTTTCTCCTCCCTGGCCGCCATTCTATTCTATAGTTCCCTTCTGTACTCAGTGAGCATACCTTATTTTAAGAGTGTGGTTTTTTTCTCTTTTCCCCATTTTCATGTGTGTGAACCTGTATACATGGTTGCATGTGTGTGGGCCCACATGTGTGGAAATGCATTTGCATGTGGTTGGGTGTGCACCCGGAGACTGGAAGTTGATGTCAGCATCCTCCTAGCTGACCCTTCCCCCGTATTCACTGAAAGCAGGATCTCTCAGTCAAACCCAGAGCTTGCTGCTGTGGTCAGTCTCAGTAGCCTGCTTGATCTGGGGGGCCCCTGTCTCCAGTCCCCAAGGCTGTGGAGTCCCCATGCCCATAACAGTTTTACAGGTTCTGGGTATCTGAAGGTCCTGTCCAGGTACTTGTAAGGCCGGCAGTTTAACCACTAAGCCACCCCTCTCGCCCAAGAGTCATGTTTTAGTACAAGTAGAATTTAGTATTATTACTAACACCCTTTCGAGTAATATTGAGATACAAATGTAACTTTTTGCAGCACTTGAAGTTTAAGAAGGGGATGTTGCCCGATGTGGTCAGGCAAGAAAGCAACACACAGACATTGTGGAGGCTAGAGTTTTAAAAGCAGGGTGTGTAGCTAGTGTGTGATTGTATTCAGTAAGAAAAAGGAGATGATGTGGAAAGGCTTGGGAGGCACCCCTTGGAATCCTCACTGCATTTGACCTGTGTGTGGGGAGAACGTGGATGACTTTTGTGTTGTTCTTATATCCCTTTGTGTTTTCAAATGCCTCCGGCCAATGTTTTTAGTTATAAAAATGAGAAATGAGCCGGGCGGTGGTGGCTCACGCCTTTAATCCCAGCACTCGGGAGGCAGAGCCAGGTGGATCTCTGTGAGTTCGAGGCCAGCCTGGGCTACCAAGTGAGTTCCAGGAAAGGCGCAAAGCTACACAGAGAAACCCTGTCTTGAAAAATCAAAAAAAAAAAAAAAAAATAGAAATGAGCACAGCTTACAAGGGGGAAAAATGCAACAGACTAAGTTTCTTAGAAATACCCCAGAGTCTTCTACCCCAGGGAAATGCTCCTTGCTTCACTGGGGTGCCGGGCAGATGATGTGAAGGCCCTTTGCCATAGGTACAGGAGAGGCAATCTGAGCTGAATCACGAGAAAGAAAGGGAGACAAAGCCATGTGAACATCGTGAGTTCATATCTGCTGGGGGGAAGCCCGTAAACAGGTCTCTCAGCAAGGGCATCATCTACCATACGTGGTGTGTGGTAATTCTCTGAAGTTCCCGCGTGATGCGGGCTCAAAGCTTAGGGTAGCTTTTGCAGGTGTGTGCAGCAGTGTTACAGCTGTTCCCTCAGTGATGGCTGCATTGACACCATCAGACAAAAATCAAAGAAGGCTGCTGTTGTTTTCTCTTTGAGCTATTGATTTGGGGGTTTGGAGGTTTAGTAGGGGTTGTGAGTATCTCTGAGGAAATTGTTTTGTCTTGCTAGCTGGCATCCTTACCACCCAAACATTGTGCCTTGTGTTATAGACCCTGAGCTATTTAACAGTTTGCTTGGGAAATGACTCCCCTGTGGATTCACACCCACATGTTAGTTCCTTTTCCCTGGTGACCTTGCCCTCTTGGTCTCTTCTAAAAATAAACACACTCCAAAGTATTTAACAGGGTTTTCTTTCACACCACTCCTTAATGCTGGAAACTGGTAGAATTGATGTTAAGTACTTAGTGATTTCAGCAGAATGCCCTAGGAGTAAGAGAGGAGTAGGAAAAAAACCAAAGGTAATGACCGACACAAACATCCACACTGTGTCCAATAGTCCTAGCAACGGCCAGGAGTTCAATTCCGGAGAGTGGGCGGGCTTTTGTTGCTGCAGGTACATCCCTCTGTAACATATTTCCTAAGCCATACGCAACTCTGGTGTCTTATTTGAGCTTTTGAGGACATTCTTCATAAGAGTGGATTTGGCTCCCCTAGACATACTCTGCATAGTCTGGTAAGAGGGGATGGAAGACAAAGGTTAAGAACTTAAAAGTGTTCTCCTTTTCCCACCTCTCTAGACTGTACGACCTACTTGAATCCAGTTGGGAAGCACATGATTGCCGATGCCCAGAACATCACAATCAGCCAGTATGCTTGCCATGACCAAGTGGCGGTCACCATTCTTTGGTCCCCAGGGGCCCTTGGTAAGTGGTAACACTCATGTCCTCTGTGGGGAATGGACAGTGCCAGCCTGATTGCCAGCCTGAGTGGCGATGTGTGGCGGCCTCTGGGTAAGCGGGTGTCGATGACAGCGAGGCTGAGAGGCGATCATGTGGACACTGGGGCACTTTGTGCTCTGTTGTCTCCTGGCCAGGCACACACACAGCTCGGAGCAGTGTCCCGTGGCCTGTTTTGTTTCCTTGTTTTAGAGAATCGTGGGTTTGAGAAGATACCGTATCGGAGATGTTTTTCCTTTTAGACAGGGCTTTACCCTGTAGCTCAGACTGAGTGCTTTTGCCTTAGTCAGAGGGAGGTGGTGATGCCGGAAGTCCCCGTGGCCTGTCCAAGGGCATGTGGCTTCAGCCTCCACCAGCAGTGGTCTCTGTGTCACAAATGACGTGTGGGCCCACCTTCGGCACATTTTGTGATTTTTTTTTTTAACCACCCCCAGGAGAATCCCTGTTTTCATAAGAAAGCATGAAATCAGTGAATTTTAAAGGTGGAGACCAAGTTGAGATTTTTTTTTTTTT